AGCTCCACCTCCACCGTGATTGTCTGCAGGTCCTCATCGTGGGATCTGCGTGGATAAAAAAAACCCCTCACAGCGCTGTTTTCACCAGCCCTGCGCCCTCATTTTTCACACTGGAACTGACAAGGGGAGTCTGCCCAGGCTAACCCTGAGCCTGAGGAGGACACAGCAGCACGTCCCTGGAGGTCTGGAGGCGAAGGGGGTTTATTTTTTCGGTTTATTTTTTCATTCGGTTGTTAAAAGTCTGGTTTTCTGTGCTCGTGCTCACCTGCCCGCGTGTCCACATGACTGGGTGTGTCTCCTGGAAAGAGAGAACAAGCCCGGTCACCATGTCGAACTGCAGCCACACCGCCTCGAGTACAACACTTTAATACCTGGGCCCGCTTGCTCCCTGCATGAAACACACATGTCTGTGCTGCTCAAGTCTCAAGGTGCACCTGCAGGTTCCTCAACCATACAGGCATATCTCCGCCCTCGAACCCTGAGCCAACCCTAGCCCTACCCCTCATGGGAAGTGCAGGGCTAACACAATGAAACAGCTGGCCATCTGATGCTAATGTCACCCGAATCCAAGTGTCACCCCAAAACTCCTGGAGCTGACAGTGTTTATGTTGACAAGACATTTCCATCTCCTGAACAATGAGGGGGAACCAGTTCAAATGGCAAACAGATTGCTAGAATATACAGTTAATAGTGCAGAATCTAACTCAAGGGATGCTCAAACTGTAAAAGGTTTCAAGTGTTCTGACAACCCTCTATTATAGTCTGGTGTGGGAGCTTGCAAAGAATTGGTGGCTGTGAACTCCCTTCTAGCTCATCTCTCTACTCAAGCTGCACCTCCAAATCGTGCCAAGAAAATCATCTCAGACCCCCCTCACCCAGCTCATTGGTTAACTGTTGGGGTGCCCTATGGCCCGTATTGGGGGTTTGTGCTGAGGTTACCTGTAGCGTGGGTGCTCGGAGGAGTCCGAAGGGGAGCGCTCCGGGATGGACAGCGAAGTCGAGGAGAGCGTCGTTGCTATGGACGCCGTGGTCGCTTCTTCGAAGGAGGGAGGAGTGCAGGGCAGGTGGTCCGGCC